ACTAGCTATAGATACACAGGCAAAACTAAATTGTATTTAAACAAGAATTAAGTAAAACGAAAAGTTTATTCTAGAATTGGGATAAAATAGTTTTTCTACACTAATAACCTTTTGAAGGTTTGATAGCGTTATTAAAAGATGTAAAGATATATAGATAAATGCCAAAAAAAATGATCTTATTAAATTTGGTTAATATCAAAGAATTTTGTTAACTAATATATAATTTCTGGAAATTAAGAATGCATTTATCATTCTATAAATAAATTTAAAAAAATTATTCCCCGTAAAGTTTAGAATCTAAAAATACAAAATAAGCACTCTGTTGTATATAAAATTTGTATTGTAGAAACAATTGTTGTTTTTTTTCAGTGTAGCCACCAAAGCATGCACACAGATACTATGAAAGCAAAAAGTTTTTGTTTGAAAAACATTTGTTGTTGGGACTCTACTTTTTGTTCTTGTTGCAGAGTCATTTTTACGCGTTTTAAACAAATGCAAATCCCGCACGAGCGCCTCACTTGTAAATTCCACAGCTCTCCCCGCACACACTCACACCATCTTCCTGGCTATTTCGATTTTCCGCCGGAGTGGGAGCCGTAGAAAGTGCACACATTTTTCGGATATTTACACGGCCAAAAACATAAAGCTATGGGGCGTAATGAAGCTTGATGAATCATTGATTTGGCGCTTTCAATATAATATAACAAGCTGTGACGCAATTGACACTCAGCCTTGAAACTTAAGACGAAACGAGTGCAAAATTTAATTGAAAAAGAAAAGCTGGGCGACCAAAGCTACGAATATTATTAAACTCGAGATATATTGAATAAATGAATCATAACATATAAAAACTCAACATTTAATCTTTATAATTCTCGTTAAAAATAAAAATATAACCTAATAAAACTCAAATGAACATACATACGTTGACAACCAGTTAAGCTCAGTTTTATTAACACCAATTTGCCGGTTTTTGCTATAGAAAGTATAGGACAAAACATCTGAGAAATCTCTGTTTAATTAGCCAAATTGAGCAAGCAAACCCTAGAATCCAGAGAAATATAGAACGAGCCCTTTTTAAAGAAGGTTCAGCAGGTGATTTCTTTATTTTTCGACCCCAATCCACTTGAGTACCAGGGTGACAGGGTGTGAATCACTCAATCCTCCTCAATCACCCGCGGCATCGTAGTGCCGTGCCAGTTCACACAATATTAACATAATGGCCCCTCGGAACACCTCGCATCACCGGAATTATTTAGCTAAGCGGCGTAGCGATAACATCGCCCGCCATCCAGACCGTTCAGAGACTTCCGATTCCCGCGATTACACAACACCCACCGGAGCGTGGTAATGAAATAAACCAATTCATGCTAATTTGTGTTGCTCCCCCTTTTTATTTGGTGCAAATATGAAAGGAAATCCACAATGAATGGCTATAGCTGCAAGGTCGTTGAAATAAATAAAGCAGAGCGTCAGAGCGTGGGCTCATTTGAGTATTGGCCTGCCTGCTGCTGTGTGCCTTTATTTATTTGATCTGTCGTTGTCCAGGGTCTGTGTACATGTTTGCTTATTATTAATCAAACACGATAAGAGATGTCTCTGCATTCAGAAAGATGAAACCCTTTCGGCATAGATCACGAATTGCTAACCGGAGTTGAGGGATACGTCTTTATTTGCGAAAAGAAGAAATAATAGTTAACGATGTAGTTATAAAAATGGGTTCCTCAGCTGACAAACTATTTTCGTAGACCCTTTCAACTTTAAACCTTTCAATTGATGCATTTAATAGGCGGTGTGATTGATGTCCAATGTAAACCTAACGCCCGTGGAAAGACAGAACTGGTAAACAACGCGTGGCTAAGGCGAAAGCGAAACCGAAACCGTGTAGAATGCAAATAGCCAAAGAAGTGGCAAAATCATTAGTCCAATAACAGGCAGTGGATTGAGTGAGCCACAAGTCCCAGGTGTCTGTCTCAGTCCGCACCCTTATGGCCAGTCCCCCCTCCAACCACTTGTCAGTCCACGACTACGACCCTCAACATTTCCACCGTTGTGTGCGTCAATTGCGACGCCCACGTGGAGGCTTCTACTATCTGACTGCCTGCCTCAACATTGATTTTCTGGAGCTCCTCCTCTGCTCCGGCGAAAAGGAGGTTAGTGGGTTTTCCTATTACTGCAGTCTGTCAACGACTCTGCGGCAATAGACTATCCACATCCAAATAAACCGCCGTACCGTGCGGCATATAACGGTGAAGGTAGTGCCCGGAACGGAACCGTACTTGACTGGGTCGTCGTCGTTGGCACTAACACAATCAATCAGTCGCCTTGTTTACCGCCCACTCGGCTGTGCGGTTCGGTTGTTGCTATTGTTAATTGATATTGGTTTAGTTCGTGTCAATAAAGCGTCATTGAACCAAAATCAAAACATACACAAGCAAACTGGCAAACTCGATTATAAATGCACGAAGGAGACCCCCGAAAAAAACAAACAGAAACCGAACAAGACCATTGTTCACTTGGCATTAATTGCGGCTTCAAGTACTCGATAATTGAAAGCCGAATGTGACGTGAATGCTAAATAGTATATTAGGTATATCTAATAGACAAATCTGGGCGATGTAGTTCGTGCATTATCAGTCTCAAATAAATTACAATTAAATTATTTATACATATATTATTGGGAAAATTCCCGCAAAAAGGAATCTATAATCTCTGTTTAAGATAAGGATTGTATATCCCAATAAAAATAACAATAACGAATAAATCTTGTAAGGACAGCCATAAGTTAGCTTAATAATTATGATAGAAAACCTTTTAAATAGTAAATACTGACCAGACAAACTTATATAAATTACCCCTGAAAATATATAATAAGCCTTATATTTTGGTCAATCTAACACCCGGAGATCTCATTTTCTAGCCCTCAGTATAGATAGGTTTTTATTCCCACTCGAAGGGGCGGCTTATCCACTTCTGCCTCGTATCTGCACCACTCCCCAGAAGTTGAGTTGGCTTTGTTATTTTCTGGAATAGGGGCATGCCGATGACATTGCAGATAGCTGAGAAGAGTGGCTGCCAACTGAATGCAGGAAGACTCTCCCCGATTGTCATTGGTGTCGTTGGATGTGAAAACAAATCAATTCAGACCAATTTCAATTTGAGCAGCCAACGTTGCACCGGAGCAGCGGAGAAGAGATGAAAAGGGTCACCAGGAAAGTCGGGTGGAGAGGCTTGCAACCAGCGGCAGCCGAGTGTAACTGATTGATTTAACTCTTAACTGTGCAGCCTGCTGGTTGCTGGTTGCTCGACTAGCTTGACTGCCTGCCCGGCTAAACAACTTTGGCCCCGGGGGTCCCAAGTATCTCAATTCCAGTATACAGTCGAGCTTCCCTGAGACGAATTCCCCCTAACTCGAGCTTAATTGCAAGGCAATCGTGTCTAACGAGCACAACACGTTCTCCCTAAAATTTCAAGTACAATAACTTAAGTTGATATATCCTTAAAGGCAAATTCAGTAATATTCTATCTTTTGGATTGTTTTTTGATGATATATATTTAGTATTATTATTAAGCATGTTGACGCTATGCTTGCTCCACTGTAGTAGACCCATCTCGTTGCTATCGTTCGCTGCTCCCCTTCGGAGCGTGAAAGTGAAATGCAAAAGCCATTTTTGCATGCGTCTATGTGCGCACACCTGCTGTTCCCAGCTGTGTCTAGTTGTGTGAGTGGCTGTGTGGGCAAAGTGCCTAATCGAATCCCAGAGAGCTTCCTCCTCGCCGTGAGCCATTAATCGCGGCTTGTTATCAAAGGCGGCGAACATGTTTCCATCGTGGCTGGCCAGAAGAAGATGGGGGGGAGGCCTTTGTCGTGTTGGCTTATGCAGATGCTGCCTGCCACAGGGGAAAACATCAAATTTGCATTACGAACTTTCTTTTCGCCTAGAAATTGCAGTTCCCACACCCCGCCTTCCGTCCCTTGGGGGGTAACGTATTACATGCAGGCAACTATTTTCGGTGGCACAATTAATTTAAGCGCAGTTTTTAATTGAATTGCAACGCTGCCCGCAGCAGCAGCAGGCGGAGCAGCAACATATATTGCACTTGGCAAGGGAGCGAGCTCAGCTCTCACTTCTCAGCTGCAAAGTTCTCTGGGCGGGTGGCTCTCTCCCAGCCCCATTTCTGGGTTCTCTTCGTGCAGACTGCTCTCGTGCAGCAGGGTATAACCATGCCCCACGAGCCTCGCATTTGTGAGAGCATGAATTAGTGCGACTTTTGGTTTTAATTGCCAGCCACAGTCCGCGTCAAGTGTCTCGCAAGGAGGCGCACACAACTTCCTGCAACGCACTCACAGCACAGCCAAGTCCCTCCAGCGGGGCATAACATAAATAATAAAAGCCGAGTCGGGAGGCCTGTCAAGCTAATTATGCAATAAAAGTATATTGAAGTAATGTGCTCTGTTCCGTGTGCATTTTGCATGAACCCCGAAACACCGAAAGACTGGCGCGTGTCGCGTTTTTGGGACGAAATCCCCGGCACTAATAATGCCTAGCATATTTATTGAATAATCTATGAGCGCCTCCGCTGTCGCTGGCCGGAGGTGAAGGCTTCACGTACCACTCTCGTACCAGCCCCGGACACCGAGTGCTCCTCCGCTCCGTCAGCTCGTCCGTTGTACGTCAGCAAGTAAATAAGGCGCCAATGTCGTCCCACGGCGTGATTTCATGCTCTTCTCCTCCGCAGCCGCGTGGCCGTGTTTGCCGCTTTTCCACGCGTTGCGAAGGCCCATCGAGAAGAAAATTAAAAATAGTTTACAAGTGCCGACAGCCGGGGTTTCGCCTAACATGCGAAAAATAATAACAAAAGGCAGCGCGAGTCGAAGGAAAATCAATAGGCTTTTCTCGTCAATATAATATATACCCTCCGATCCATCCATTCCAACCCATAGCACACTCTTTGCCCTCGTCAGTGATTAGCCCACTCAATCTCTTGGATCTTTGCAGGTTGAAGCCGGGGATGTCATCCTCAAAGTCAACGGCACGGATGTCCATCGCTACACAACGAAGGAAGGTGAGTATGGGGAGAGTGTTTGCGGAGAAAGCAGTGAATAATCAACTTAACACACACCTATTATTTTTTAATAGTTCTCAAATGCCTGCGCCTTTCCGAACAGCTGGTGACCTTGGAGCTGAAGCGAGGTAGGTGGAAATGCGTCTGCCAACTCAAGGATGCAAACCTGTTTTGCAGCAAACCCAACCAAACTGACTCAAACCGAACAGAAGTGAAATAAACTCAATCACTGATGTCTTCAGCGAATGAATGAATGTCTTTAAGGAGTTTTGATAGTAGCAAAGTCCATATTGTTTAGTGTTTTTAATAATTTTAAATTAATTAGAATCAATGTAAGGGATTTATATATTTTAAGTCTACAATCTTCTTTGCTGAAAGCAATTGTTATATTATGTTATTTTATGCTCAGAACCGTAGTCAGTTTAGATCAGCTTGCATCCCTTCCTTAGATATACCAGTAAACCTATACTAAATCCACGACACGATTCTCCCCGCAGATCCCAAGCTCAAGGCCCGGATCAAAGAGCAGCTGGCCAACACCCAGAGTCCGCACTATGTGGACATTGAGTCGCCCAATATCTACGACTACCACAGCAGCAGCCCCCACTCCTCGCCCAACCATCGTCCCGCCGCCGGCGCGAAGGGAACGGCAACTACGCCCACGCCTACGCAGAGCGGGCTGCGCTACAAGTCGCCCACGCACTTGCCCTCACTGCGCCAGAACTCGTCACCACTGCTGGCGAGTGGCTCCACCACCACCACGACCACCGCCTCGCACACGCTCACCCACAGCCGCAATTCGTCGGCCAGCTCTACCAAGATCAAGGTAGTGGAGACGAGCATTACCACCTCGACGACCAGCAGCACCACGGGTATAGTCGGTCCGACCTCACCCACCGGAGGGGAGGCCACCTCGCCCACCTTCCGCCCCTCTCGCATTCCACAGGCGCTCAAGTGCCCCGCCCCCAAGCCCGTGCCCTTGCTCCATTCGCCCCAGAATAAGCGGCCTCGCCCCTCGCAAATCCCGACGAAGGCAGCGAACGGGAACGGCAACGGGATCGGGCATTCCTCTCAGTTGCCGCCCCAGGCTCTGCAGCACTCAAACAGCTATAGCGGCAGTCCGGTTACCCGGCAACGATTCTCCACGGAAAGGGAGCAGGAAAGGGAGCCGGAGCCAAACTCGGCACCACCACAGCCGGCGAAGGCGCCACGCTTTGAGGCTTACATGATGACCGGTGACCTGATCCTGAACCTGTCCCGGACACCGCAGACCAGCAATCTCCTGCCCGCCCAGGCCAAGAAGGTAAGCGAGAGTGACACTCTTTTTATGCCCTTAATGTGACACATTTCTTGCAGGTGGACAGTCTCCGGGACTCGCCCAGTCGTCTAGTTAACCCACGGATCAACGGCGCTCTTGCGCCGCGTGCATCCGGCGAATCCTCGCCCACGTCCTCCTCGTCAGTGGACTCGCCCACCAACACCAGTTCGGATTCGGTGAAGCGCGAGGCCAAGGTGTTGCGGAAGCAACAACAGCAGCAACCAGAGCAGCACCAACAGCAACAGCAGCGGGACAGCATCAACAACAGCTACAATCGCAAGGACTCGCTGACCAACGACACGCTGCTGATGTGCGAAGAGCTGGAGCGGGACGAGGAGGCGGAGTATGGGCAGGACGAGGATAACCGCCAGCAGCGTCAGCGCCAGCAGCAGCAGCAGCAGCGATATCGGCAGCAACAGAATCAGCAACGCTACGAGTACTACCAAAACGACGACGAGCTGGAGGAGCAGGAGGAAGTGGAGGAGCGCGAGGAGGACCAGACGCACTATGACATCACCAACATCGAAACCTATCAGAGCGGACTGGGGCGCGGCGACGAGGATGACAGTGACCGCCAGTGTCTGGTGGACGATGACGACGACGATGACGCCTACGACGATGAGGAGAACGATGCCGGCGACGAGGACTACTCGACCAACTCCCTGGGCTCCGGTTCAGCCAAGCAGAGATTACGCGCCCTCAAGCAGCGGACGGCCACCCGGCAACAGCAGCGCCATCGAGATGCCGTCGACTGTGCCGGGCGCTCTGGATCGGGATCGTCGTCGACGACGGTCAAGAGCGAGGCGGGCGGTCTGGGCCTGGACGAGACCTCCTTCTCAGTGCCAACCTCCCCCATCTCGTTGTCTACGCCGCTGATCGACAAGGAGACGGCGAACTCGGTGCCCACCAGTCCGGAGCCCAGTTCCGTGGCCGGACAGGAGTCGGGCAGTGGCGCCGGTGCCGGTGCCGGAGCGGTAGTAGTGCGCCGCCACAACGGGCATGTGGTGCGGAAGTGTGATGCCGCCGGTTTCCGCACCAGCAAGTCCGAGGACCATTTGCAGCAGATCCAGCGGGAAGGCATCGCAGCCGTGATACCCATCGACATCGATGAGGATGTGAATAGTTCGCTGAACACGCTGCTGGACACGCGTCAGGACTCGGAGGACTCGCAGGTGAGTCATCGCTGTAATGCAGCAGTTCTTACTCCGAAGGACAGCCCGCCTGGAGCTGGATAGAGCTGCATAGCTAGAGCCAAGGTCGAATTTCCCGCCAGATCTCTCCCAGAACACATGACACCCCCTCGACTCGTAGTTAATGAGTTCCCTCGCTCCCGTTGAGAAGTTTCGCTTTTGTAGAGTTTCGATTTTCGTTAACTGTTGGTTTCTGTAGTCTGTTGTCCCCACGTCCATGTTATGTGTGTGTGTTAGCCAATGCATTGTTATATAGTCATCGGTATCATCCTCCCATTACTCCTAGACCTAGACCTAGACCCATATCTAGATCTAGACTTAAGGGGGTTGACACATGTGACGGTTAAAAAAAAAAACACTTTTCATTTCTTTTGCTTTGATTGCTTAATTTGTTTAATTTCTATTTGACAATATTTTTAAAATATCCTAGTTCTTGCGATGTCTGCATTTATACTTTACTTAATAACTGTTAAAAAAATGTGTCTAAAAACGGACATCACATAAGTCAACCCCCTTAGAGCCACCATATTCTTGATCACTTGTTACTTTGAACTTTCCACTTAATTACTTGTACTTACTTCTTAACTACTCTCTGTCTATCTTACTCTCTGGTTTCGTATCCTTTCTTTTCATTTTCTCGTTTCTCCGTTCTACGTTCTCTGTTCTACGTTCTCCATTCTCTTGTTTCCTACTTTGGCTACTCTTCTCGAATCGATTTGATATGCGCAATTTATTGTCCCCGTGAGCTTTCTAGTCGATGGCCACTGTAATTGTAAACAACTCCTCTTCCTCATCGTCACTGGCCTCCAACAACAACGAGGGTGAGCGAAACAACAACCCCAGCAACTGCAACACCAACAGCAGCAGCAGCAGCAGCAAGGCTGGCGACAACAACAACTGCCGCAGCGAGAGGAGCGAATCCCCAGCAACTGGTGTCCCAAGAACGATGAACTGCAGCAGCAAACTAAACTATATCTTGTGCAAAAAGGTTGCCATTCGCATAGTTGGCATGCTGATTAATGTGACTTTCATTTTGATTGTGTTTCGATTTTTGCCTATTTTGATTTGTGCCTGCGCTTGGAAAGAGTTTTGTATGTAGAAGAGAGCAAAAGAACAACGCCACTCTATAACGCTTGCCACACACACACTCGAACAACAGTCTTTATCCAACACTCACACGGACACAGACACAGACACCGAACGCTTCCGGCACTCGGAAAATTTGTTAGGACTCCTCCCCCGCCCTTGGGAGATGGGGCAGCTGCCGGCCAATGGAAATTCAAGATCTGACATAAAATCCATAGAGCATTTACATATTACAAAACCTGATCCTCGTGTTATTTCCCTGTTACTAATCCCTGGTTTGTTGCACATCCTAGGCCTCGGATCGCGATCGTATTGTGTGGACTTATAATGCGCCACTGCAGCCGCACCAATTGGCGGCCCTACAGCGACAGCAGCAGGTTCAGGAGCAGCAGTTCCAGCAGCACCAACAGCAGCTCCAGCAGCAACACCAGCAGCACCTCCAGCAGCAGCAACTCCAGCAGCAGAACCAGCAGCAGCAGCAGACATTCTACGGTCAGCAATCGCATTCAAATTCACATTCAAGTTCCATTAGTTCGTCGCCCCAGCACTCGGCTGCGGGCAGTCCGGCCTCGCCCACGTCGGTGTCGTCGTCGGTGATGTCCTCGTCAGGCTCTAAGGGCGCCCTGGGCCTGGGTAGCAGCAGCAATGGCCCCACATCCGCGCAGCAGCAGCAACAGCAGCGGGAGCAGGGCGGTCAGGTGGCGCAGCCGCCCAGCGGGATGCCCGGTCTGCTCAGCTGCCCAGGTGGCGGTCCAGGCGGTTCTAGTGGTGGTGGTTGTGTAACTGGTGGTGGTGGCAACAACGATCAGAGCGTCTCAGAGGCCATTTCGAATATTTCTAGTCCCGACTACCAAGACGACGATAATTTATTGAGTTCTCGCGATATTCTAGGCGGCATGGTACTTAGCGATCCCAGTGACTCGGACTCCACCATTCTCGTGTCGGACGCGGCCGCGCTGCAGCGCCAGCAGCTGAAGCAGCAGCTGCGTGCTCAGCAGCAGCAGCAGCGCGAGAGGGAGCGGGAGAGGGATCGCGACCGGGAGCAGTCCGAGCACAAGGTGGTCATCCAAGTGCGTGGCCTGGACAGCAGCAACAGCAGTAACGGCGGTCGCTCTGAGGAGGATGTGATTACGCTGACGGACGAACCGCTGGGCACGACTTCCATCGGACTGCGGGACGGGTCGCCGCCCGTCTCCGACGATGGCAGTGATGTGGAGTCGCTCCACTCGTACCACTACTCGCCCAAGGCCGTGGACATGCCCTCGGCCATTCGTTTGGCCAAAAGACTGCACTCCCTCGACGGTTTCAAGAAGAGCGACGTGTCGCGACACCTCAGCAAAAAGTGAGTGTCTCAAACCCAATCCTCTTAATGACACTTTTCCATCCGGGCTTCTCTTTCCACTTAAACAGCAACGACTTCAGTCGGGCGGTGGCCGATGAGTATCTGAAGTACTTCACCTTCGAGAAAAAGTCACTGGACCAGGCGCTGCGCGAGTTCCTCCAGCAATTCTCGTTGTCGGGGGAGACACAGGAACGGGAACGGGTGCTGGTGCACTTCTCCAAGCGCTTCCTCGACTGCAATCCGGGCACCTTCAACTCGCAGGATGCCGTGCACACGCTCACCTGTGCCATAATGCTGTTGAATACGGACCTGCACGGTGCCAACATCAATCGCAAGATGAGCTGTGCGGAGTTCGTGGACAATCTGGCTGATCTCAACGATGGCGAGAACTTTCCGAAGGATGTGCTCAAGTTTCTATATCAGGCCATCAAGACCAAGCCGCTGGAATGGGCGCTGTAAGTGTGAACAATTGATATTTTATGCGATACTTTAATTATTATTTGTCCTTCCAGAGATGAGGATTCCGCCGAGCTGCAGCAGCAGCAGAGAGCCAACAACAGTGCCCTGGGCAATGTGGGACAGAATCCCTTCCTCGATCCGCCCGAACTGGCCACGGCTGTGGAGTACAAAAAGGGCTATGTGATGCGTAAATGCTGCTACGATAGCAGCTCCAAGAAGAGTGAGTTTCGATTTACAAATATACATAAAGCTAACCTTTATATATTATTTGATATAGTCACATAATATATACGATAGTCAGAAGACCATCTGCAAAGTTTCATGCAAATAGCTGCAAAGCTGAGGGAATAGTTTGCGTAGAAGAGGACAGACGAACATGGCTAGATCGACTCGGCTGTTGATGCTGAGCAAGAATACATACATACTTAATAGCGTCGGAACCGTCTCCTTTTTGCGTTACAAACTTCTGACTAAATTCATAATACCCTGCAAAATAATAAAGATTCTCATGGAAATATTCCGTCTTTGTATTTTCAGCTCCGTTCGGCAAACGCTCCTGGAAGATGTTCTACTGCACGCTACGTGATCTTGTGTTGTATTTGCACAAAGACGAGCACGGTTTTCGCAAGAGTCAAGTGAGTTAATGGCGAGACAGAGGCTAAAGTATATAATTTAATGAATATCGCCTTCTGTTTAGATGTCCGACAATCTGCACAATGCAATACGCATACATCACGCACTGGCCACCAAGGCCAACGACTATACCAAGAAGCAACATGTGTTCCGTCTGCAGACGGCCGATCAGGCCGAGTATCTATTCCAGACCAGCGACTCGAAGGAGCTGCAGTCGTGGGTGGAGACGATCAATTACGTGTGCGCGGCAATTTCGGCACCACCGCTCGAAGGCGGTGTGGGCAGCCAAAAGAGGTTCCAGCGTCCGCTTTTGCCAAGCAAACAGTCCAAGCTGATGCTGGTAGGTACTAGGGGGAGATTCTCCTTCTCTAACATTTTTAATTCCTGAGGCACTCGTTCATGTTACAGAAGGAGCAGCTGGAGTCGCATGAGTTGCAGCTGGCCCAGCTGGAGCAGGAGCTAAACGAGCACAAGAAGGGTCCGATTCCCAGCAAGGGACTGCCTCTGCAGAACTACAAGGAGAAGGAGAGCTACTTGCAGTACGAGGTAAGGGTGATCCGTTCTATGGAGGTTCCTATTCCAACTTTCCTATCCTGCAGATCCGTCGCTACCGCACCTACGTGAGCATATTGAGCGCCAAACTGCTGGCGGATCAGCAGCAGCTGGAGCTGCAGGCCACACAGCCGGCACAGGCGGCGGCGCACGACGAAGAGGCCGACACATTCCCAGTGGGCAACACCACCGCATGCCCGCCTTCCACGCCGCAAAGTATTAGCCTGCAGCAGCCGAAGGAGCAGCAGCAGCAACAGCAGCAGGCACCGCCAACGAACAGGTACAGTCAGCAGCAACGCCCTAGCGGCAGCAGCAGCAGCTCCTCGTCCTCCGGCAATGTGCAGCAGGACATTGGCTGACGCGTAATGGGAGTTTTCTCAGCTTGTGTGGTTTAAGCGATCGCTCTCCGATCGCCCCTATTTTCTGTTCGCCTCCTATCCGTTCTTTTTCTGTTGCTTGTGTTGCTATTTTGTGTTTTGTGTGCACCCCGAGACCCCCTAACCTTGTGTTGTTCGTTCCGCAGAGCTCCCCGGATCTCGGGGACCACCAATATCTGTTGGAACTACCTGTTCCGGGACTCGGTTTGCTGCTGTGTTTTGTTGTGTTTCTGGCATTACTGTACCGTGTCCACCATTATTATCTAATGTGTTTTCCCATTTCTGTGTAAAAATAAATTTGCGTGAGCGTTGTTGTTCCTTTCGTTTCATTCCCGCAGATTCACAATCCTTTATTTTGAATAGTCTTAGCTGCGATAACTACGTATAACAAACTATAACTGAAGCCCAGACTAAAGTGTTTAAAACCACGAGAAGACGGAGACCAGATCAGACCCCTAATGTAATTAGTTCTTGTGCGAATAATGGTTTTGTTTTATAACCACACCCACACCACATGCTGTGAAAACTCAATGAACAATTCGTAAACGATAATTAGGAACATAGTTAGAAACTAACGAAGGTATTCGGTTCGAGATTTGAATAGAACCGTAGAACTATAGACAAACTGTTTTTTGTAGCACTTGTAGCTGACCGGAGTTTTGGCGTTACATTATATACATATACATATATATTTATAAATGAAATTGAGCGAAGAAATATGTAGAAAAACACGAAATGTGGTTCATTATCCGTAGCGGTCGTTTAGCGTTTAAACCTAAGCTAAAAGCATTCTAAATATATAAAATACACCAGCCACACTCTCTCACCTACCAAATAGCATTAAACAATTTTTACAAGTCCGCACACACCCAGCAGAAAAAATCATCCACGCCCACACTCACCCTAACCGATGGTTAAGACCACACAGGAACTCACCTCACACCCACATGGGAATCATGCTAACCCGGCAACGGACCCTAGGTGGACCCCAAACCCAAGTTGCTGTTACACGTTGCCCCCGTTGCATTGTTTCCCCGTTCAATTGCGTTCAACTCACACCCGTTCAAAAGCAAAATCCAAATGGAAGAATTCTTCAATCTTACAGATGGCTCGATGTCTTCTGCTGCTGCTGCAGCAGCCCCCTCTGGCGGCGCTTGCTCTATTCGAAAAGCCATTAGCCAGCTTAGTCTCATGCCCAGATTTATGCTCCATAGCAACGGCAGCAACAGCAACAGTCACAGCACAGCACAGCACACGAAGCACGCCGGAGGCTAGCGTCGCCACAAGAGAGGTTCTCCCTGTAAATGCCCCGACCCGTCCCGTACCTGTGTCTTGAATGTGAGCAGGCCAATGCCAAATACCCAATGTTTAACTCGTTAACTCTCCAGTGTCCAGCTTGGCTTAGTGCGAACCTATATATACTATATACGAATTTCACCCATCCGCGACTTTTGTTTTGTTTCTAATCACAAATGCTAATACCGCTTACCTTACTCTTCGTTCTACACTTGCAGAAAAGAGAAGAAAAAGAAATAATTTCGTTTCGTTTCGCTCTTGATTTCGATCATTTTCAACTTGCATACCACCAACCAACACACAAACACACTTCCCACACATCTGCATCCTGCGTATCCTGGCCACCGGTAAGTCCAGACCCACGTAATCCCGATCGCAATTTGACGCGGAAGTCGGTGTATGTATATATCCATATAAATATCGAAAAAGGATGTCATAATATCGATTTTTTATAAATGTAGAAAAAGATGCAATAATGAACGATTTTTGCTGTTAATAAATTAAATAGCAGTAAATCGATATAAATCGATTAAAATTAAAAATGGAAATAATTAAAATTATATTATTTCGATTAAATTGATTCTAAAAGTGAAAACCGATATATATAATTATATAATCGATTTTATTTCCAGCTCTAGTTGAATGATGTATTTTCGATATTTAAAAGTTCGATATATCAAAGAGTACGATTTTTTCGATATGATGATATTATGTGCGATAATTTTGTGGATATATCACAATGGACTTCCTCTCCATACACATCCCGATCAAGCATGTAACTATCTTTTTCTGTCTTCCCTCCAGAGAAGCAGGAGCAGGCAGGCACTGCCACACGAACGAATCTGAATTGAATACTCCGAAATGCCACACGCTGCCTCCTCCGCCGGGAGCCCATCAACACACTCCATACACTCAGCACCACACACCTCCAACTCCACGGGGGCACAACCATCACACACACACACCCACACTCGTACGCTTTACGTACACTCAAGCGCTACGGCTGTGCCGTGTCTGCCATTGAAGAAATTTGGAATCTGTGCACTTTAATTACTTTAACTGTAACTGTAACCGTTAAGGAGCGAGTTGAGGGCCGATAACTTGAACAACAAGAACATACGATAATTAACTGTAACCGAGAATTTGAAACGTCTGCGAAGGAGAATCGATTTACCTTTGAAGGTCGTTCATCAGAAGATTTTTGGCAGGGAGATTTTCCCAAATTCAAATTCAATCTCAAAGACTTCGATTCAGAGTCTCACGATGACATCGGTTTCATCTGTCGCACGCAATATGCTCGATTCAGATTCGACTTATTTAAATCATATTTTTCTTCTGCTGGATGGCTGCTGACGAAGAACGAGAATGAAAACTGCTTATACACATAGACTTATTATTACGAGAGTTGATAAACAATACTTACATCATTACCTATGCTATCATTATAAATGATAAAAATAAAATTTATAAATTATTGAATACTTCTGCGCAAAGCAGAGGGCGCCGAGGACGAGAAGGAGCATTGGCATTATCCTGAGCAATTACCACTTGATATGCTTTGAGTACGACTTGTTTATTGGCCTTTTGCTATGCACTATCACACACTACATTACACACACTTACTCCAATATTATGTACGGGCAAATATATTTATTTACACAAACAATTATCGGTTGATTACGCGACATGTCCATGTAGCTAGAATATGAAATTGATAGCGAGGCAGGAGAGGAGAGGGAGGAACAATAAGTTTAAATACACCATATACATATATATTTTTGAATATATTATAATATATTATATTGTATTGTGTAATTATGTAAATGCAGATAATATAACATTGTTTATAATTATTTTTAACAACTCTACTGAAACGGCAATAAACTCGAAACAAAAACAAATGCAACCAACTGAAGTGAAGTGACAAAAACCGAAGCGAGAGCTAACCAAGCGCCTAAATGAATGCATATTGTATATTTATTTGGTAAAACCTTTTTAAGCTGGCTTTCGAGGGCAACACACTTAGTTTTAAAGCAATAAATCACCTTTTGGCAATTCATTTAAGAGGACTTGAACCCATTTGTAGAGTGATCGTAGAGGCGGTGATTTTTATGTGAACATTTATTACTAACAATAAGCTTTGAGTACAGTTAGGAGAGCCGTTATACTATGTATGCATATACACATATACATATATATATATGAATGCTCCTGTGAGCAACCCAACAATTACGATATGACTCATTAAATACTTCCAAAAGCATAAAGACCCAGTCGTTTGTTTTTACTGCTCCGCCTTAAAGGTGAACGACGTGTCCGTCTCCTCCAGCATGTTCTCCAGCCGCAGACCCAACTGACGTCGCTGCAAATCCACCTTTACCACCGATGCCACAATGCGATCGCCGATGCTTAGCTCACTGTTGCTCATGTGGCTCTTGTGTATCAGCCCATCGCGCTCCACGCCGACGTCCACGAAGGCGCCGAACTGGGTTACGTTAGTCACCGCTCCTAAATAAGCACACAAATTGGTAAGGTTGCGTGCTTAAATTCAATCCATTAGAGACCACTACTCACCGGTCACCACATCGCCCATACTGAGCTCATCCAGCCGTGTGAGGCCCTGCTTGAAGAGCGGCCGCTTGTCCAGATCGGCACGATAATCTTGCAGCAATTCGCGCTGCAGAGCAATCAGCACGAATTCCAACTGCAACAAAATAATATTAACACATTTCTACAAATATCGGGGTCATGTGAGTTGTTGGAAAGCTGCGGGTCATTTCTGTATAATCCAGAATGTGTAGTATTGCCTCCACTGAGAGGAGTCCTCTCATAACCCCTGACTATGGTATCACTCACCCTTTCCTTGGGCAACTTGTGCTTCACAGCCATACGGTCGAGGTTGGCCTGCGAGGCGGCAAACTCCTTGATACGTTTTATAAAGCTGGCCTTGCCTATGTCCGTCAGCTTCATGTCGCATTCCGCCACAATACTGGAAACATAAATTTGGTTTTAGAATTTTAGGAATATCGTATATTTTCCGTAAATTTCCCATTTTCATTATGTCGAAGCTCGCCGAGCTGAAGCGCCAATATGACGAGCGCTGGCACTATCCACCGCCGATGCCGACAGGCAAAGTAACCGATATCTCTTGCGGCGCTGAGCCCGTCTTCTGCGGCGATAAAGCCATCTACGGGCACAACGAGCGCCCCGTATACAAGGCTTGCTGGGAGCATCCCATTGCCATGCCGCTTCAAACGCAACTCGGTGTCTGCTGGGAGTATCCGCCGGAGCGATACAAGCGCCGTCCTCTGCCCCCGCCCTGCCGCGGCTCGTCTATCCCTTTGCACTTGCTAGAGCCAACCTTTGAGCACTGCAAAAATCTCTACACCCGCGGCGACTTCCAGCTGGAGCAGTGCGTCCACCAGCAGCTCCTCGTCCTTGACGAGAAACTGGGCCATTTGACGCGAGTGCTGGCCCAGGCCAGACCCTTGCAAATCCAGAAGGTGAAGGAGATGCGGTATCACGGAGTGCGCTATCGCCTCCTTGCCGTCAATACTGCCTGCACCAAGTTGTACCCCGAGTATCTCAGCCGGATGACCGAGGAGCGGGCTCTTTGCGAGTTTCAGAGGGCCTACAACGAGGTCAATGAGTCCAAGTAATATGTCGCCAAAAACTGGCCAATATTTCAACCTCAACTTTTGGTACTTTTAGCACAGAGTTGATGGCAGCGTTCCTGGACATGCGCGTATCCATGCCGGAGCTGGAGGTGCGCCTGTCTAGACTGGACAAGTCTCTGAAGAGCCCCTTCCAGCTGGAACTGGAGCCCGTGATGCAGGCCATTGAAGACCTGAACACCTATTTCTTTGGTGTGGTTGTCAAGATGAAGTCCTGGGCGGAGCTGATGGATCCCATGAAGGAGCACTCCGTCGAGGACTACTTGGCACTGTTGACTAAGCAGAGCAACTTCAACGACTTTATGAGTTCCGGCATGGAGAACTGCACTTGCAAGCGTGGCGATAAGAAGGATCCCTTGAAGCCCTATCTACCATGCTGGTGTCAGCACTCAAATCCCTGCGAGATACATACTAATGCGAAGGAGTTTGGTGCTTTTCCTAAGATTTGTGACCACAAAGAGTCGAGCGACACCTCCATGCTAGAGAAGGCGGTCGAGGCACAGAGGCAGAGGCAGTAAAGCTCCTCTCTACTTGTTAAACAATAAATGTTATTTACCTGTCCGCCACTTTGTAGCTTTCGGGATGAACCCAGGTGCAGTCCAGGGGATTCTGCAGACGCCCACCAACGCTCAGCGGCTCGATACGCACAAAGCCTGCGCACTGGACGAATGACTTTTCGCCTATAGTTCGCACTGATAGAAGATCCTTGCGAGTCTTGAACGACCCCTTCTGCGACCGATACTCTATGATCTTCTCCGCCTTCTTCTCCGACAGTCCAGCAATATGCCTGTGGGTCAAATAATATGAAGTCACTCCCAGAACCCTACACCAACTAGCACCTACTTGAGCACACTGAGACTGGCGGTGTTGAGGTCCACGCCCACATAGCTCACACACTCGGAGACAACGTCCTTCAGCGATTCCGTCAGGGTCTTCTCAGACACATCGTGTTGATACATGCCCACGCCCAGGTGACGCGGTTCTATTTTCACATACTCACTCAGCGGATCGTTCAGGCGCCGTGCTATGGAAACTAAAAGGAGATGGGTTAGGAGACAATTAGGAGGATTGGGTGACAATTTCCTAACCTGCACTCCGTTCGTTGGTATCCATATTAGGGAATTCCTTGGTGGCCACATCGCTGCAGGAGTAAACAGAAGCGCCGTTCTCGTTGACTATGCTGTAGCGGATGCTGCGGCTGTCCAGAACTCCGGAGTGGAACATGTCTGTCAGCCAGTGCTCAGTCTCGCGGCAGGCAGTTCCATTGCCCAAGGCAATGATTTGGCAGCTTTAAAAGGTACAGTTTGCACTTATAACTCAGTAAATATCTAGCTTAGACCTACTTGTGCTCGGAGAGAAATTTAACCAGCTTTTGCTCGGCGGCCCGCCTATTGGCCCTGGCACCGTGTGGATAGATAACGCCCGTGTCCAACACATCCGCTGTTTCGGATATCACGGCCAGCTTGCAGCCATTGGTATAACCCGGATCGATGCCCAGGATGCGTTCGCCCTTCAAGGGGGACATCAGCAGCAGCTGCTTCAGGTTCTTGGCGAACACATCGATGGCTGCCTTCTGGGCCTTCTCCTTGAGATCAGCTCTGATCTGCCGGCACATCAAAGGTTGCACTGCAATGGGATTGGATTACTGGGACATTGTACGGAGCATCCTTAACTTTGTTTACACTTCTTTGAATAGCACTCTTCCAGGGATTTCGTGAAGATCTCCCTCCGGAGCGGATACTGCAGACCCTCCGTCATGTACTGATCCGTTATGAAGCGCATCAGATCCCGCTTAAGATAGTCGCTGGTCTCCACTTTAACCGAGAGGAACTTGTGCTTTTCGCCACGATTGATAGCCAGCATCTGATACGGCTTAATGGTCTTGATGTCACCCTGAAAGTTGAAGTAGTTCTCAAACTTTGAGCTGTCCAGCTTTTTGTCCACAATGCCGCTGGCTCCCTTGCCGCTGCTTGCTTTGCTGGAACCTGATTTGGAGGACGACGCCGACTCCTTGGTCTTGCTGCACTTGAGAAACACGCGATGGACATTTTGTCTTAAATTGTGAAAGCAAATTACATAAAAATATATTCAAAATATGTTGCGGAAGCCTTACAATCTCCGGATCTCCTCCAAAACATTGGTGTTTTTGCTGATTTTGTGTATTATAATGTTGCAGATTCCACTGATTACTAGGGCTTCCGTGGCCAAGCCCTCGTTTGCCGGGGCCACAATCGATCCGATTTCTACTTTGGGGGCTGAGCCGTAGAGCAGGCAGTCGGCGTACTCCTCCAGGCCCAGGGCTTTGGCCCGCTCCGCCAAGGTGCCCTTGCTGGCCGGCTTGTAGGGGGCGTAAAGAAACTCCAGTTCCTCGTTGGTCTTCGCGCACATCAGCTCGTCCCGAATGTCTGCATTGAGCACGTTTTCGCGCTCCAACTGACTGACTATGTTCTCGGCCTTCTTCCTCAGATCCACGATATCTGTGTAGGTGTTCCGAATGTCTCGCAGGCGATCGGGTGCTATGTGGTCTACTAGGTCTCGTCGGTAGCTACAAATAAATGTTAATTGGTTTCTATTGATTCTAGGGATAAGTACCACAGTTACCGGCATATGAAGGGAATGGTGTTTTCGTTCTCAAACAGCTGCACAATGTTCCTGGCTGCCTGCGGCTGGATATTTTCCGTCTCGGCCAGCAGTTCGTGGATGTTCCACACCTTGCGGCGCTCCCAGAACGAACTGCGTCCTGTAGTCGAAGGCCTGACAGCGGCTACATCTGGTTGTGTTATCGCAGGCGGAGGTGCCTCGTTTTGCGGCTCTGGATTGGACTCGTTGGGACAGGCGTTCTCGTCCTCTTTCCCTTTTTTGGAGCGCTTCTTCTTGGGAGCCGGTCCTTCGGCAGCAGCATTCTTCGAGGAGGGCCAACGCTTGCGACTTAAGCTAAGTGGGACAAGGATTAGTCTTATGCTAACGACGTGCATATTTTTGAGAGGATTATCTCACTTACCCGGCGGCCAAGCCATCTGCAGCGCGATCTATCCTGCGGTTATTCGCGTCTCGAGGCCTGTACTCATCCGCCTCCTGGGACTCAACATCTGCCTCCGAGTCGGAAAGCTCAACCACCACCAGTTTTTGTTTACTAGCTGCTGCTCGTCGCGGCCGTGTGGACATTTTGAATTAAATTAAACAACCCGCAAAAAAGAGGTTTGGAGCAACCTTTAAAGATGTTTTACGTTTAGATCTTCACTTTTTCGAAAGCCGTCTTAGAGGAAAGGTAATCTATGATGGATTATTTAGTAAAAACAACCATAAACATTACGCTTAAAATGAATACAGGACAGAAAAACGCAGAAAATGAGGGAAACAATTTTAGCCGCAAAATCTTCAATATTCGATTGCAATCAGCTGCTTAGCGGCATTAATCGATAACTGTTGCTGCCAAACAGCTGATTTTGGTTGTATTTTGCAACTATTTTGTATTTTCGTTAATTTATCAATGAAAATGCTTAAATATGCCTGGCAGAGTGACTTGCATCAACGGATTAAATTGCTCCGGCAGCTGTCTGCTCACATCCCGCAGCGATTCTACAGCAGCAAAATCAGAAACATTGGCATTCTGGCGCACATCGATGCAGGTGAGTTTTAAGAAACAATTTTCTGTCCAAATTATCCGGTAAAGAAACCCGTTTCAGGCAAAACGACGACCACAGAGCGCATGCTGTTCTATGCGGGCAAGACTCGGGCCCTGGGCGAAGTGCATCGCGGGAATACGGTGACCGATTACCTAACCCAGGAGCGGGAGCGCGGCATTACGATATGCAGCTCGGCGGTCACGTTTCCCTGGAATGGCCACCGGTAAGGACTCGTATCTCCATTACTCTCCTGTTTGGTCCCTTTATATATTTTATTTAGCATTAATCTGTTGGACACACCCGGACACATTGACTTCACCATGGAGGTGGAGCAATCACTGTACGCCGTGGACGGTGTGGTCGTGGTTTTAGATGGAACGGCCGGTGTGGAGGCCCAGACAGTCACCGTGTGGACGCAGGCAGACAAGCACAAGCTGCCGCGTCTGATATTCATCAACAAGATGGATCGTCCGGATGCAGACTTTGACAAGAGTGTTAATGATCTCAAGGCAAAGCTGGAAACGCAGCCTGTTTGCTTGCAGTATCCTGTGAAGAGCGAGGATGGAGTATTGGGTTGGCACTGGTCACGAACTCTATAGAATGTATATAATCGGAGTGGATTCCCCGCAGCCATCAATGATGTCATCACCCTGGAGCGATTGAGCTGGCAGCAAAATGACCTCGGCCGCAGCTACAAGAAGACGAAACTGGAGCCCTCGGATGATCAGCGCCAGCTGCAGGAGAGGCGCAATGAACTGATTGACACGCTGTCGGGATTGGACGACGAACTGGCTGACGTGGTCATCAGCACAGAGAGCTTTGACAATGTTGATGGTGCTTTAATTGAAAGGGCTCTTCGACGAGCAACAAGTCAGCAGAAGGTGGTACCCGTGCTCTTGGGTTCGGCGTACAAAAACGTTGGCATTCAGCGGCTGATGGATGCTGTGAATGCCTATCTGCCGGCGCCGGAGGAGCGAAACGAGATATACGACTGCTTCGGGTAGTAGTTAATCCTATAGAGGAATCCTTGCCTATTTTAGCACTTCTATGCTTTGCAGAAACGAGGTGGCTGCCAAGGTCTTTAAGATTGTGCATGACAAGCAGCGAGGACCTCTGACGCTGGTGAGGATTCTGCGCGGCGAGGTAAAGCGCGGCATGCGCCTGATATCTGCCCGTGGCCAGGCGGAGGTGGTGTCCAAACTGTATGAGCCTTTGGCAGACGAATATCGAGAGGTCAGTTCCCTGCAGGCCGGAGATGTGGTCATATGTGCTGGCCTAAAGGTAAGTAGTACTCAATACAGGACCTCAATGGTTCTTAACCACTACATAGTCCACAGTGACGGGCGACCTCTTGACCTCCAGTCAGTCAGCTCTAAAGAATGCTCAGAAACGCTTGAGGCAAAGTCTAGGCACATCTCCTAGCCAGGATGAGGAAGACTCCGACGAATCAGATGAGCTCTTCGCCTTGGATCCGCCTGTACCAGACGCTGTGTACTTCTGTTCCATTGAACCGCCTAGCATTTCCTCGCAAACGGCCATGGAGCAGGCTCTGCGGCAGCTGCAGCGCGAGGATCCCAGTCTGCGGGTCAGCTACGACGCGGTCACTGGGCAAACGGTGCTCGGCGGAATGGGCGAGCTGCACATGGACATCATCAAGTCGCGCATCCTGAGCGAGTACAAAATCGACGTTGAACTGGGCCCACTGCAGATCGCCTATAAGGAGACCATCGAGTCGGCCGCAATAACCACGTTGAGCGTGGAGAAGGAAATCGCTGGCAGCAAGCAGAATGTCAGCATTACACTGGAGCTAGTGAGGGACCAAAGCGAGTTGTTCAGGTGACCTTTAAGTGGCGCTCGTCTGGAAATCGGTTCTGACTTTCTCTGTTCTTCCACAAAAGCTTGGATAAGTCTCCGGAAAATATGCCAAACCTCAACACATTGCGACCGCGCATACTTCAGGTTCTGCGGAAGGGTTCCATCAGTGCCTTGGAGCGGGGACCTCGCGTGGGTGGACAAGTGGTGGAGACGCAGATTCGCCTGCACAACGCCACCATTGGTCGGGGCACCGCCGACTCGTTCGTCATGGCTACGGCAGCTCAGTGCGTTCAAAAGGTAAATTAATGACCTTTGTGGGTCTCTTTGTAATCCTCAATGCCTTTCAGCTGCTGAGCACGACTGGAACGCGTCTGTTGGAGCCAATCATGGCCCTGCAAATTGTGGCCCCCAGCGAACGTATCTCCGGGATTATGGCTGACCTTTCCCGCCGGCGAGCCCTGATCAATGATGTCCATCCGAAAGGCGACAGGAACAAAGTGAGTTTGGGAAATTTTCAAGGTTTTCTGAACATTTCTAAAGCCCTATCCCTCTTCCCAGATGATCCTGGTGAATGCCCCACTGGCCGAGCTCTCCGGCTACTCCAGTGCTCTTCGCACTATCAGCTCGGGCACAGCCAGCATGACCATGCAACCGTGTGGCTTCTCCTCAATGAACTCTGCGGACGAATCGCTGGCGGAGCGGCGAGCCCAGGGCCTGGAATAAGGGAACGGATAATGTTGACTAGTTCTAAGCAGGCAGGGTGTCAGATGCCAGCCCTTAGCTGGGCCGGATCTTTTTGTGTTTGTAATCGTCACCCGTTTAGCAATATTAATATTTTGTGGACTCAATCAATGTCGGACGTGTTTAAGTTGAAATTTAGATTGGATTGGACATAGCAATAAATTGGTTTCTTTCTGGTTGAACCCTACACTGCCCAGCCATGGCGTACTCCACACAAAGGGAGTTCTTCCACGTGCCGTTTCGGAACGAGACCTATGAGTTCGAGTGCTCCGAAGAGTGCGTTAAACTGAAGACCTATCCGTCCACGGTGGACGACAGGTCGTGGTCAGCCAACGAGGATAGAAAGTCACAATTCGTGGCCGATCTGGTGGCCTGCAACACACCCGTGAAGGGTGGACAGCGTGGAGGTCCAGAGGATGAGTACGGAACTAACCTGGTGGTGGGCGACAGCCTGATCAATGCCGCCGACGACACAATTGGGCGCATGCAGGATCTGATGGTCAGGAACAACTTGCTAAAAAAGAAGTTGGCCGATTCCGACGACAAACTAAGGACGGCCCAGGAGGAGAGTGACGAAATCAAACGGATCATGGATCAGCGCTACGATCCGCAAAAGGCGAAGGAGCTAAAAGAAAAGATCAAGGAGCTGGCCGATGCCGGCAAAATCACTCCGAAGGACGAAAAGGAACTTAGCGACTTACAGAAGGCCATCGACGACATGAACAAGGCCCATGACATCCTCCAGGCTGAGAACGGCAACCTCAAGCGACTGATCGAGAAGCAGTCGAAAAGATGCCGGCTGGACAGCGTCAAGATCGATCCGGAAAGGAGTAACGACATTCCTTACCTGCAGAACAAGATCGATGATCTGGGAAAAGAGGTCAAGCTGCTGCGTCAAGCCGAGGACGAGAAAATGACGGGTTCCGGTGCTGGTAGGGGCGGTTACTCGCCGGAGAAGGATCCAGACAACATCCAGCGGATCGTGGCGGAGCGCGATGCCCTGAGGAGGAAGTGCAAGGAACTGGCCGATCTCAGCGACAAGGTCAACCAGCTGGAGCAAAATGCCAACAAGGCGGCCTGCCACTCGTGCAACCTCGAGAACAACCTCCAGCAGCAGAACCAATGCATAAACGATATGCAACGCGAAATGGCGGACATGCAGGACTACTACGAGAACGAGGTGGACAAGGCAAAGGGAAACGAGGAGATTCTCAAGGTAGGTCACCGAAAAATTGATTTAAAAGCATCCTATTGATTCTCTCATCTCTGCCCAGTGTCGATGTCAACAAATGAAGAAGGAGCTGATGGCCGCCAAGAGCGCCGCCCAGCGGGCCTGTTGCCAGCAAAAGGAGATCGATGTTCTGCGCAACGAGCTTCGAAAGCGGGACATTGCCCTCAACGCTTATGATTGCCAGTACAAGCAGCTTATGGTGAGTATATCCGGAGAGCTGCTGAGATACAAGTATAAGTATTATATCGGTACCATCCTCCAGTTGAAGGCCAAGATGTTCAAGAGTGCAGGCTATCGTTTCCTCGACGACCTACCACCTGACTGCTGTGACTGTAGCGCGGATGGTGAGGAGGAGGAGGGATGAGACTGATAGCCCAGGAACCGGAGTCTTATCTTCGTTCAGATTGTTTCCAAATTTCCAACAGCCATTTCCCGAAATCTAAAGTTTTACCAAATTACAAACCATATATGCGCCAACTTCAAACCGTACTTTTGAAACTGTCCAATTCCTATTACTGAATATATTTTTAAATATCAACGGTCCTTTGAGTATTCGATTGTTGCACCAGAGTAATCGATTAAGGTTTGTTGGGTAAAATAATCGATTTAAGTGCGACCAGATGCCGAAAGAGGTACATCCCGGCCGTTATAGGTCGTTTAGTTGGGATTTTCAGCCAATTCCGAGCACAATATGCAGCTCTAAGCCAAACGTTTATTGTTGAGGAGTTTTTATATAATAAATAAATTGCGATGGAGAAGATTGTGTCAGCCAAAACATGTCTTAGACTGCTTCAGGTGAGTGTTTGAGTCCATAGGCATTCGTACATACCTCTACCAACCCCGTTTTCATTGACAAATGCAGGCAATGCCCGCCACCTCTTCTGGTAGCCTGGGTGTGCTGGCTCCTCCCGTGCAAAACATGCTTCAGATGCAGCAGGTGCGCCACCGGCAGACCAAACACTGGAAGCCGGAGTTCAAGCGCCTGCGTAAGTTGAAGTTTGTCAAGATCGATCTGCCCAATCTGCGCGAGAAGCCGGAGGACATCAGCAAGGAGGAGATGCGGAGCCGGATGAAGGAGCGCGGTGTGCTCCCGCCCCGTCCCTGGATGGAGCGGCCCTTCCACATAAGCTGCACCGGCGGCATCTTCGAGGCGTATGTCCCGCCCGAGGGTGATGGAAAGAAGTCTCTCATCTCGACAACCGGCGCCAAACAGAAGCTGGAGTTTCTGGAGAAGAAATCAAAGAGCTTGATGGCCGTGCGCAAGATCCGCTCATACGAGGAGTCCTTCAGCACCGACGATTTCGGCGCCGAGGCACAAGACATCTACATCAAGGCGCACACTCACATGGCGGCTAAGGAAAAGTACCAGATTCGCGAGTTCGTGAGCGAGCGCTGCTATCCGGAGATGATGCACAACGTCAAGGACAAGACGATTCGCTGGAAGTTCCTGCAGTCGCTGGAGCCGCCTCGCGTCGTGCACGCCCGTTGCACCGAGGTGATCACCAAGGAGAACCAGTTCGCCCAGGTCACCGTGCGCTTCCACAGTCAGCAGATGCTGGCCATCTACGACCGCTTCGGCCGGCTGATGCACGGCAGCGAGATCCTTACCAAGGATGTGCTGGAGTACGTGGTCTTCGAGAAGCACATCTCCAACGAGTACGGCAAGTGGAGGCTGCACGACAAGATAATTCCCGATTGGCTTCCGGCCAAGCAGCCGGCGCCCATCACCTATCGTCTGATCGAAGATGCCGAGGCGGAAGCCCCCAAGGAACTGAGCTCTGGCGAAGAGACCACGCAACTGGAAGCGGCCAGCGAACAGCCAAAGGAGCAACTACAGCTGGCTACCCCGGTGGAGAGTAGGGCGAAGCCGTCTATGACCATATGATTGTACTTTTTGTGGGCCGCCTGGCGGCTCAGAAGGTTGAACGTTAATGTTGTCAACACTAGTTAAAAATTATAATTTCTAAAAATCATTTTAATTTGTTTTTAATTTTTATACCCTTGCAGGGTATTATAATTTCAGTCAGAAGTTTGCAACGCAGTGAAGGAGACGTTTCCGACCCTATAAAGTATATATATTCTTGATCAGCATCAACATGCGAATCTTTCTAGACATGTCCGGAAGAAATCGATTTTTTGGCCATTTTTGCGAAATTTGGTAAGGGGTTACATCATTAAAATTTTTGATTTTTATAAAAAATTGAATTTTCAAAATTTTTAAATGAAGTATGCAGATTTATTAACTGTAGAAAATCTTGCACAGAACAATTTTCCGATTTAAAATTAATGCTCTTTTGGCCGAGTTATGATATTTTTAATTTAAAAAAAAACAAGAAGAAAAATTTTGATTTCTTAAAATTTTTAATTTGGTATGCAGTTTTTTTAAATTAATTAAAACCAACACAAAACTGCTTTCCGAATCGAAATTAATGCATTTTTGGCTTAGTTATGATATATTTTAATTGTTACCTGCAAGGGTATACAAACATTGGCTGGCCAAAGTTAGCTTTCTTTCTTGTTTGTAATAATTTGATTTCTATTGCTCATTTGCTCTTTTTGTTTATTTCTAAGATAAAGAAAAAAGGATGGCTTATCAGAACCCATTAGAGTTTATTCAAATACTCCTAATTAACAATTAGGAAAATGTTACTTTAGGAAACAACTTTGTCTACTTTCATATAGCATAAAAATATGTTGTAAATATTCAGAACTGTGCTCGGATCGGGTAAAACATCACACTTGATATTCAATACCTTGTGAAGAAGCAACAACTAAGCAGTAATACACGCCAGAGTTAATATATGTTTTGTTTATATATTTATACAAAAAGTAGTAAAGCTAGTGCTTATGGTTGATAGCTATAAATACAGGCAGGCGGTCACTCAGTATATTACATACGAGAGCTCGTCATGGATTGTGCTTGTGGACATTCGGTAGGGAATACAGTAGACAGCAGATAAAGTCAATAAATAGTGCACAGATATATATACAAGAAAGATCAGTAAAGCCATTTTAATTGCATCCGGGACAGCCGTATCACACGAAGCTACTGCTGGGCTCATCCAGGTAGGCACACCGTGACCCCGCCGCCGCCTCTTCGAGGGCCTTGCGGCCCAGTTCCAGTGGAATTTTGCTCACAAAAGTCGCTGCCGACGTAGTGGCTTCTTTGGATGATGCGGGTGACACCTGCTTGCTGGGTGAGAACTTATTGCAATAGTTGCTCGTTGGGTGGGCAACGGCCACGCCCCAGTTGGAGGGCTTGATGGGGAGCACCTTTGGCTTGGGCGGCAGCGGTGGCGGTGCTTTGGCGAATTCCGTTTGGTCCTGCGCCTCGGTAGGCGACTCAGTCTCTTGCTCCTGGTCCACCTTCATGGGCGACACCGGTTGTTGTTGGCTGCGTGTGATGGATAGCCGGGGCGCCGGCTGTGGAAGCTCCGTGGGAGAGGGCGGAACTTTGCCAACGGGGCTAAGGCTGGCGCGCACCTTACGCAGCTTGGACACGGCTGCGCTGAGATTCTCCTTGTTCTTCAGGAAATCGGGCAGATCGAAGTTGATCTCGGTGCCGCGCTGATCCTCCAACCGTGCCAGCTGGGCTCGCTTCAGGCCCTCGAGTAGTTCATCTGTAAAGGCAAAGAGCACAAAGTTAGTGGACAGTTCTTCGGCGGAGGCACTGCAAGGCTACCCACCTTGGTGCTCGGCTACTCGCTCCGTCACCTGCAGCTTCACGCCCGCCTTCAGCTTGGCTATAATGGGCTTCTTCGGATCCGCGGCCGCCGTCGCTGGCGTCGCCGCCTCCTCGGACTGCTGACTGCTTGTCGATTTCTTCTTAAGCTTGGGCAGCTTGCTGCCAGGAATGTTGCTGCCGTCGCGCTGCTGACGCCGCATGCGTTCGAACAAGGAGGAGGATGTCTCCGAGGGTGCTTCGTTGGATTTCATGGAGCACAGGTCGCTGGGGCGCTGCTTTTCACTGCCAGCTAAAGCCGCTGCATCCGCCTTGCTGGCCAACAGCTCGTTGAACACCTTGTTCGTCAGCTCATCCAGCTGGCCCTGCGGTAGCGGCTTCATCGGTTTGCTTTGCTTCGGCGGCACGCTACTGCCGCCGCCTACCTGAAAATCCGAGTGGAGCAGCACAATGCGCAGTCGCTGGCCATCGGCCATGGTCACCGGCTGATTCAGATCCAGAGGCGCTTGGGTGTCTCTCAGAATCACCTGGACCTGCTCCATCTTGTAGTTGTACTTGTTGAGAATGGGCCGGATCACCTCGTGCAGCTGCTTCTTGGGCTTGCTCTTTACCGAGATCACCTTGGGATCGGGCAGGTCCAACTTAAAGGCCACGCGTCGCTCGATGACCACCTCCTTGCCCGCCAGCAGTTGCGATGGCTGCTGCACGTCAATGGACTTGGTGCTGCCCTGGAACACGATGTCATAGTAAGGGTACACCAGGTTCCTCTTCTCCAGCAGCCGATCCACCAGCTGACCCACCGTTTCCCCGGCCCGTGTTTGCACAATAGTGGTGGCACCATCGGTGAGGATCACACGACACAGAGAGCACACGCTCTCCGCGCTGGCCCCCTGGCCGCCGGCTGTGTTGCCTGCGTCGAACGAGGACAGCGACGAGCGGGAACTGTGCAGGTCGCTGAGAGAGTTCTGTCCGGAGACGAGCTTAAGGGATGCACTGGTGAGCAGGGCGGGCGGTGGTAGCGGTGGCGCCGGCATCAATGTGCTCTGCAGGTCGGCCATTATCTCAGTGCGATCGCGGGACTTACTCCGCGTCTTCCGGTGCCAGGGAAGTAGGCTCTTGCGCCGCCGATCCTCCGCATTGCTGGCCGATTTTTTAAGCTGTCGAATAAGATACAAAATGTATCACTGATCTCTAAGTGACCATTCGGAGACTTACCTTAGAGGAGGCGGCCATGTGAAAATTCGTCTTGAGAAGCTCATCCAGATCGGATCCACTGTAGGGCAGCGCCAGACCCTTCTGCTCCGCCTCCACGCAGCTCTTGTAAAGATCGGAGCGTATAAAGCGTTGGTAGCTGTCGAACTTCATCAGGTTAAAGATTTGCTTCTGGGCCGGAGCAAAGATGTCCGGAGCGGCGCCTGCGAGCTTCTCCTCGGTGAGGCTGCGTGCCTGCGAGTCCACGTTGACGGGATCGCTGCTGCTGTTGGCCAGATGCTTAGCAAAGATCTCGCGAGCCAGCAACGCTCGCTCCGCCTCCGATTCGAGCATGCGATAGCGCTCGCAGGCTGTCCAGAAGTAGATATTCTCCGCGGAGAACTCCTTCTTGAGAAACTCGGAGAAGGTCTGCATGCCAGCGGCGTCCTGCAGCATCCGCTCGAAGGAGCCGCCCCAGCTAGTGGGACCGCCATGCTCTTGTGCCGAATCCGCGTTAGCCACGGACACCGTGATGGCTGAGGGCGGGGCGGGGGTGGTCAGGATCTTGGGCACCTGCAGCAGGCTCAGCTGTTGCTGGCTGCGTGTTGACTTCAGATCCGAGTCCAGCATCAGCGTCTTGATATACACATCATTGTCGGAGGCGTTCATTGATGCAGTACGTCTCACCAGGGGCGACGACTGGCCCTGCTGCGGCTGTTGCTGTTGCTTGGCCACCTTGTCGGAGCGTGGCGTGCGGAAGGAAGACTGTCCCCAGGCTCGGCGGAAGGGCGAGGCATTGGCGGGCAGAGCGCGGTTCTGGAAGAAACAAAGAAAATGGTTAGCTATTAGAAATTATTCTTTTTCCAGAAAAGATATAAAAACTAAAGTTATGCTTTATCATCAAAGATATTGTACAGCAGATAGTCAAAAATATTTTTTTTAAATCTCTATGATATTAAAGTTCTTTTATTATTCATGAATAACTACTTCAAGATTTAAGAGTGTTTATTGCCCAATAAAAACAGAAACACTAAACTCTTTACGATATGTAGCTGCATTATAAAGAATGCACAGATATAATATTTGAAAGTATCTATAAGGTTCAAATAAGTATTTATAATATATTTCCAAACTAATACCCACAAATACATTGAGCATTCATTTACGAACCCTTCCATTTGTTTCAATTAAAACCAAGTCATTCCAAGTGCAAGTGCCCAACGAGATGGAGGATAAAGATGTCGATTCATGGACAATTTACAACTACAAATTGCGGGCACCCAGAGTCCGGCATGTCATTATCATGGTCAGAAGACGGGCACGATAAACTTTTGAACTCCTCAAGTTAGCTTATACATTTGTTTGTGTGACGCACATGTAGGCTCCCCTCCAGAACTTTCCTATTCCCCATTGGGAGTTGAGTCCCTTGTGCTTATGATGATGATGATGATAATGGTATGGTAATGGTGGTGGTTCTCCAAGCTGCCTTTTATTCCCCTCGGCTTAGTGCACTTGTTGGAAACACGATAATCGCTGCTCAAACAGACGGAGAGTCTCTCTATTTCTATTCCCAGAGTGATCATTGTGTATTTGTGCATTTCCCACCGACTGTTCGTTTAACGACAGCTTTTGTGCGCCATCCCCCCTGTTTGCGGGAGATTAATGAATTCCAGTCCCAAACTCTACTAGACCCATCATTCTATTCAGATCTCGGGTTTCGCAGAAACCATAACTCACTCACTCCCCGGCTCAAACATACGAAAAAGCATTCGTTTTGTCGGCTGGCGATGATCGTTATAGATAAAAGAGAAATTTTAAACATTTCCGGTCGGCTTTAGCTTACTTTGTATGAGTCTTCACGAACCTCAAAAGGGGAAAAGCAATTTTCAGTTATTTCTGTTCATTAATAGAAACCAATTTGTATCGAGAGCTGGGCTCAAGTTCGTTTATGAAGAGCTTCGCCGACGCACGCTGCCAATCGAGAGGGTAGAAAAAATGTTATAAAGGCACTTACGTCAATATATAAATTAATAAGTCCTTACAGAAAAACAAGAAATGGCAATTTCATCATCAGAAGAAATTTCCACAAGCCCGTGACGCCATAAGTGAACAAAAATATAGGGAAATATACATATATGCCATGGACTGAGATAAGCCTTCGACGAAGACTTTTTATCACTCTGAGGAAAAGCAAATTAAATATGTGGGTCAAAAGGCATAAAACACTCTGAAACTACTTAAGCTGCACTCGGGTTTGACTTTGTTTTTCTCCCAAGAGGGGCTCAAAATTTTCAAAATTCTCTTTTGCAAAGAAAAAAAGACCAACAGACTGACAAACACTCATCGGAATCAACGAGTAAGAGCTGCGAGCCGAACATAAATCAACGCTGATTGCCAAACAATGGCTGGGTGCAAGGAGTATCCAGTCATAAGTAGGAAGTAAGCAATTTGCCAAAGAAAATAATTAAAATAAATAAACGCTGGCTAATTCGCAGATTGTTGACTCCCAGAGACCGAAAGTCAACTGTGAATTAGACGAGACCCAAGGCTATACGAAGTAAACTACGTCAGAATGAGCCCCATTTAAATTTAGCCACTAAAAAATCACAAAGCAAAGGAAAAAATTGGAAAAAGAAGCAGCCGCTACTGCAACATCCACTCCGTTCCATTCACTGGACAGATGTTGAGTTAGGGGAGGGGAGAGCATATTTCTTCGCTTCAGTGGGCACTGACTTGGACATTTTCCGGTGCCTCTGCTGGTGAGTACGTTCACATCCACGTCCATATCCCCATATCTACACTCCCATTTACATGGCCGCCGTGGATCGCGCTCTCTTTTCTTCTCTCCGAATTAAAATCATCATTTTACACCGAGAAATTAATGATTTTAACTTCAATTTGCTGGGCTTAGTAGATTTTCACCTTGGAATCTGATATAGTAATACAATTAGGGATGATGTTAATTCTTATAAATCCTATTACTAAGGAAACACTACAAAAAGTGTCTATAAGAAATAAACATATTCGTTGGTAGCCACTTTTCCCAGCTTGGTGTCTTGTAATATTTCTTTCCCGTGTAGCCATGGACTCGGCCTAACTCTCTGTTTCAGCTCTCTCTAGCCGAGTGCCAAGTCATTGGGCTGAGTTTGCACTTCGTGGCGGCGGAGAGCAGAAACCTCACAGAGTCACACGAGTAAATTATCCACAGTGGTTTTCGGCTCGGGTTACCACTCTGCCAAGCTTATCCACATTACAATTTCTCCGCAGGCACTGCCCGATCGGCAACCTGTCGCCATCTGGGGTGGCACCTAATTAGCAGTGCTCTGGTAATTGGAGTCTGGAGCCGATGAAGCCGGTGCAACCGCAACAGGCAAATATTTGACGCTCTGATGAACTTGATGAAACATCAAGTTCCATCGAAGGGCTTCGTTGTAGGAGTTCGCTTCGCCAAAAGCTCCCTCATATCGAGCGCCGAGAACATCACGTAGTCTCGTTTGGAAGCGAAACCCACCCGTAATCCATATATTGGTATGAGCAAATATCACGCATATCTGTTTCTTGAGAAATACTCAGCGCGCGATAAACAGAGTGTACACATGAAGTGAATTCAGGGTGGGCAATGGGAAGAATGATATCAAATATGACGAAGATGTTTTCGGGGGAGCCGCCATTTAGAGACTCAAAATATCTGTCGCCGCCTAGCAGTTCCCAGAAGTGTGCCGGGAATTCAGGGAATTGCTGATAAATCATAAACAGCCCTTATATTTGTGAGTGTTTTTCTGTATCTATGCAGCTGGGGGCAAAAACCTCTTCGTAAACAAATTACTAATAATGCTGCTTTTTAAAGCCGTCTAAAACGATATGATACCAAGTCTTTAATATATATTTCATCAAGTGTTTTCCAATTCGATAATATTCTTATGACCTCCACTGTATGTGGGTATGAGTGTACTGCACACTCGACTCCATACATACATATGCCATATTGTTTAAATTCAATGAAATCGAATCTTATCTAAGAAATGGCGTATTCTTGATTATGGATTGGGAATAAGAATTGAAAAATGGGCGTCTTTGGGGGTGGACCATGCGAGAGGAAAGGAAGAAGAGGTATAAAAGATTTAACTCGTTAGGAATGCAAATGATAAACTAACCATAACCGTGATTTAGCCAGAACCTACCCGGCTTGCCAGCTGCGGATTCTCGCGATTTAACAATACAACTTTTATTTTTGTCTAAATTGTGGAGTTTTAATGAGTTTTTTTGCGTCTTTTGCCAAAGGTGTGTCTGCGTGTGTGTTGCGTGGGCAATGCAATGGCAGAAAGCGAAAACGTGCCGCTTTTGTCAACTCGCTTTGGCGCTTACTTTAATTTTCTCTGGCTTTATTCGCACTCGAATTCACTTTTGTTCAGCACTCCGCACTTCGCTCTTTGCCCCGGGGCTTTATATAATTGCTTTATTTCACTAGCGAGCGAGCAATAGTAGTAACTCGGTGTTTCGCGGAAAAAGAAATCCCCGAGAGCCGCGTACCAGCCGCTTCAACGCTAAAAGTATCTTTGGGATGTGGACTGAAATCTTTACATTATCGTTAGCTCGAACGCCAGATACAATATACAAAGATACGAGCAAGAGAGCGCCAAAGAGCGGGAGAGAGAGTAAGCCAGCAAGGGAGAGTGCATTCGAAATTGAGCGATCCACAGTGGGCTAACTGAGGACAAGAGTCAACAAAAATCAACTAAGATAAAAATAAAGTTACTTATTAATTTTGAACTAAACAATTTTATTTTAAAATAATATATGTAAGTCAGGGTGTTTCGTATTCCGATACACAAATTTGAGAGATTTGGAGGAAATAATTTTTTGAACTTGACTATTTTTTTTTAATTTATTTTAACTTTAATTTCCTAAATCGACTCCACTGTGTGATCGTGGCCCCACAACAGCTGGTTCAACGTTTGGGGCTCTCTCGTTTTCGAAATTCGAACTCGACTCCGTCTGTGCCTGTGTGTGTTGGCTTACTCATTCTCAATGAGAGTGCCTTTTGTTCGTATGTCGCTCTTTGTTGCTGCTGCTATTAATGTTTTTATTGTTGTTGCCTTTGCCTATTTGCCCGACACCGGCTGCTGCCTGGCATTTGGTTTTGTTGTTTGCATTGCTGCTCATGAATGAACCGCACATACACACATTCAAAGTAACCCGTGTGTGAACAGCATGTTGTGGGAGTGTTGCCTCACTCTCCATCACTCGCTCCCTCTCTCGGCGAGTGACGCATTGTTTTTGCTTGTTAATTAAATGCCATTTTGGTTTTGGCCAATTAATTAAGCAGCTTGGCGCATTTTTGCACATTCAACACAAATGCCCATTTAAGTAGGCAATGGCAAAACGGCTTAATGAGCCACAAAGTTGGGTGCGCAAAAAAAAAGTGCCGCCGAGTAAATAAATTGCTCTATTTTTAGCCAAAAACGCTGGCAAATAAATTAAGCGATCTCCCTTAGCGAGCGATGTAAACAAAGAGAACCAGACAATTGGAATAATTAAAATGCCAAGCAAAGGCAAACTGGAATGCGGGCGGCAGCTGCTTTGTTGTTGTTCATCTTGCGATTCCGCCACTGCTTTTGCTGCTTCCCTCTATTGCTTTTACTGCCTTTGCTGCGCATTTGGTTGATAAATTAAGCAATTTGCAGATATCCAAAGGCAGGAAGGGGCGGTGGGCGATTGGAAGCGCAAAGAACGCGTGGATACGGATAACCCCAACTGTGGCCAGTTTCCAGATCATGTGAGGGCATGGAAAACTCTCAATTTTTTGCACCGCGTGC